TTTAAATCGTAGAACTACTTTATATGATCACAAAATCCAGAATATATAACACATGCTGCGAGGGAAAATGTACTTCCTATTCCCAGGAGGAACGAATTTTTGGTGACATTGTTTTCGAAGCAATATATTTCATGTAAACTTACTACATTTACTATTCTTTTAAAGAGTGCCGAATAGGTACACTTTATATAGCGTCACAAAACTTGGCCAGCATGGGCGGGAAAAAAGCTAAATTGGCAACAGTGCCAACTTGCGGTATTTAACCGGGCAGTCGGTATTTTCGGACGACGCGCAACCGGTCACACGGCCGCACAGACTGATATCGAAGTCGAGTCTGCTCTTCCTCTTCGATAAACTCAATATTTTGCAATAAAATAAATTAGTTTTAAAACCACAGTCGCGAGTACTTTCTGAGTAGCTCGGCAGCCGCAAGTAGTGTTTGCGCGTATCGGTGCACAGGGCGAGCCCTTCGCGAACGCGATAATCCCACTTACTCCCGAAAAGCCCCGAAATCATTGTTGTTGTTGTGCTTTTCATTCCGTTCCGTTTTGCTCTGTGTATCTGTGCATCTGTGCTCGGTTCACCAATCCAATCGCAACGGCCAACTGATGAGTCTCAATTGTTTCCATTAACGCAACGAGAGTAGCACCCACCCCTCCCCACCACCGCCACTTGCCAGTTGGGCCCGCGCCCCACCTCACACCTCCAGCCCCACCCGCGACCCCCTCCAAAGCCAAATCCAAATCCAGACCCAAATCCTCACCCACTGCGAGATGGCCAGCAGCAACAGCAACAGTTTTGGGGGCGTGGCCGGCGTGAATGGGGATCTGTGGCGCGAGTGCGTCGCCTGGCTGACCAGGTGCAAGGTCATCCCGCCCGACCACAAGGCCGCCCAGCCGGACGCCGAGATCCGCATCCTGGCGATGACGCTGCGCGACGGAGTGCTGCTCTGCAACCTGGTCATCCACCTGGACCCCAGCAGCATGGATCCGCGCGATTTCAATCGCAAGCCGCAAATGGCACAGGTGAGCAAAACACCAAAGAAGTGACTTTAGTGCAAATTGTGAATGGTAGCTCATTTTAGCACTTGTAAATACGGTGCACTGAGCGAAATGTTGGCAGTATTTCTATTTGCTATACTTACATATATGTATTCACATTTGCTAAAAGATTTGAAATCATTAACGATTGAATAATTCTTAAAATAATAAATAATTATAGTTTCTAACAACATTTTATAATAACAATACCAAAAATCCAATTTAATATAATTTATTTTAAAAGCCCTGAAACTATGTGGTTTTGAAAATAAATGCGTTTCCAGGGAAAATTACTGAATTAATTGAATGCATTTGATCAAAAATGTGTTTAAAATGTTTTTTTCTTGCCAAATAAATTTTAGAAGGTGAAGATTTAATATTGGCCAATATGATTTGAATTATTATTTTCAAATGTTATGTTTTTTGAGTGAATAAGACAAGAATAAATGTAATTAAATTAAATCATTGCAGTTCCTGTGCAGCAAGAACATCAAGTTGTTCCTGGACGTGTGCCACAACAACTTCGGGATCCGGGAAGGCGATCTCTTCGAGCCGACGATGCTGTACGACCTGACGAACTTCCACCGCGTCCTCATCACGCTCTCCAAGTTGTCGCAGTGCCGCAAGGTGCAGCAACTGCATCCGGATCTTATGTGAGTGCATCGATTCCCAGTTATCATGCCAACTAGCATTATGTGTTTCCCGTCGCTCGGGCTGGATGGGATTGATACCAGTCCGAGCAGCTGGTGGTTCAAAGGAAAACCCATTGTGCAAACATTCCAGGCAACTGAAATAATATTATTCGATGCTATAAGGCATAAGTTTTATGTTGCAGTTTGCATATGTCCAATGTCCGAGTCCATGTTCGTGTCCATTTTTCATTTAACAACATTCTAAGTGTTCGGCAATTAAAGAAATTAAGGGATATGTACATATTAAAGAATTTCAAAAATAATTGCATGGAATGCTTTTCAAAAATAACACATTGAATAAATCATTGAATCCAGTTTGCAAATATATACATATGTCCATGTTCACGTCAATGTGCTGGATTGGAATTTCTATAACGATGTATAACATTGTTTTTGCGCGTATGGATATAATTATTATATATTACAAGTGGTAAAAATAGCTTTTTGGACTAAACGATTTGCATTTGATTTTAGGCATTTATGTGCAATAGGTATATCAAATTGTAGAAATAGAGGAATGTGATCAACTGTAACCCTAACTAATTAATTGCAAACCATTTCAGTGGCTTCAATCTGCAGCTTTCGCCCACGGAGCGTTCCCATTCGGACGAGGCCATCTACAAGGACCTGCATTCCACGTGAGTTGCCAATTCTGGTCGAGATCCCTGTCCACCGTCCACTGTTCCCTTAGCCATGTTGCGTATTCCACCGCTTGATCCGCTGTCCATGAGCGGGCGATGTGTCTGCATTTCCTGCTCCACCATTGCAAACCCCTGCCCCTGCCCATGCCACCAAATCCAAGCCCATGCGACCCGAAACCGATCTCATTATGCGCTCACATGCTTCCCGGTCCCAAGTTTTTAAGCCCACGTCTGACTGCTTATCGAGCACATGAAAGAAATAGCATTTCCGAAATATTCTCTTGCTTCCCTCCTTGTGAAGTCCACCTAAATTCATAGAACGAACGAGAATTCCAACCGAAAGTCAAAAACTACTCCATAATGAGCACGAAACTTCAGATCGCATCACAACAAAGTTGTCTAAAACTGGGCGCTACTCTTAAAAGTGCTTTTAACCCAGCAGAATCGCATAAGCCGCTGAACTTTTGTAATCATAAATGCCCCTGATATGTTGCCCTCGATATCGGGTGGTCACCATCATGGGAGTTCTCTATGCAAGGCAAAGAAGTCCACCCAAGCTATCTCCGTGTCCAGCTTTATCTAACACCCTCTCTCTTTCTCCCTGTCTCCTATCTCTGTCTAACACACTAACTTTCTATCTGTATGTGTGTGCGTGCGTGTGTGTGTGTGTTGCCCGACGGTTGGCATATGGGGGATTCCTCCAGCGATCTGAACATGCGGAAGACAAGCAGCGTGGACGCCTCCGCGTCCGCCTCCTCGTCGGCGGAATACTACGACAGAACGTCGCAGAGCGGATCGCTGGACGAGAATAGCGACATCACGATCGAGAACGGCACCGAGGACATCGACGACTACATCGAGGACTCGCTCTCCAACATGTGCGACTCGACCATCGACAACGATGTGGAGGATGCGGGCGTGGAGACGCCCCTGCTGGCCGATTGCCAGGGCAGCCATGTGCGCGAGCTGTCGTTCGATCTCTCCCTGGATGTGGTTAGCTCCACCACGGATGGCGCCTCCAATGCGGTCACACCCACTCCGGAATCCTATGCCCGGCAATCAGAATCACCGTTGTCTGCCGCTGCGCCAAGCGTCCCATTGTCCGCTGCACCGGGGCCACCAATGGGCCGTCTGGTGTCCACATCCTCCTCGTCGTCGTCGCTTCTGGTCAGCGAGAGCCAGCGGCTGCAGCGGGCGGCCGCCGCCGTCTACAACTACCGCTCCTCGATGGCGTCCACCGAGCACGAGTATGCCTACATCTACAGCGAGGACGATGAGAAGGTCTACGAGGACCTCTGCTACGTCACCTTCCAGGCGAAGGCCAAACCCGAGGTGTGCTGTCCAACATATTAAATGTCTTTGTGTCCAGCGGGGTGGGATCCTAAACGAATCCCCAGCAGTTCCTAATCCCAACGAGACACGCTGTAGCAACGAAATTTCCATGCGAAGCATTTAAAACAAATGCCAAATGTTTTGCATAGAATTTTTCTGTTTCCACGCAGTTTCTTGTCTGGCTGGAGATGAATTTAAAATCCTAGGAGCGGAAAGTAATTGTTAAGCTGCTTACATTGGCTCATTATGAGTTCCCTTTCAAGTTTTGCACAATCAAAGCTACGATGTAATCTACTTTGCCTGTGGAAACAAATTATTAACAGAGATTACCTTCTGCTCCTTGGATTTGGTTCTAGAAATCAAACCACCCCCGTGTATCGTCATGTGTAACAGCCTCTTAGCCTCTTCTCCTCCAAAATCTTCTTCCTTCCGAGCCCAATCCTCGCTCTCCCTTCGAATGCTATGCCTGATCCCTTAGACTCCTCCATGTAGGCCTATCCAACCCACTATGCCCTGCACCGACCCCCACACACTGCTTGTCTTGTTTGCGCTTGAGCTTGAGCTTCACCCACCACTGTGCCCGCACTCTCACACCACGAACACTAACACAACGAACCACTAACCCAGTCGCGCACCACCACCAACGTAGCCCGCATCCCCAAGCTTAGAGATACTGTATCGCTGTGCGCGCTCTTCTGCGGATGGCATTCCCATTCCCATTCTGATTCTGGCTGGCGGTTCCTACAAGGCCGCCACCAGATCCAAAACGGGAATGCAACGGGGCAGCGATGTCGATGGCGATGGGTTATCGACCCCTACTTGACACCGATCGAAGGCAGCGCCAAACATAGCCACCGGATGTGGAAGTGCTTGCCGCCCAGCGCTGCCCCTCTCATTATTTACACACTTTTAACGTTCAACGCTGCGCGAAAGTAGTGCGGCACAGTCATCGGAGCGCGTGGATGAAGGTGGAGGGGAAACCACACCGATCCATAACCGAGAGCTTCTGGTTGTCAGCCGGGGATGCGGTGCGATAAGGTCGATAAGGCCACACGGAACACGAAACACGGCCGATTGAAAGCCAGATCCCATTAAGAACACGTACCACTATGGCAGTTGTTCTGGCTTTGCCATGATAGTGTTTATCGTATTATCCTGATTGTCTTTATATTCATTATGGGGCCTTGATTTTTGCTTACTTTATTACATCATTTTATGGAGCAGCCAGCTAATTGCGCGATAGTAATGACTAGAAAGTAGGGCTCCCCGTTGACCCCGTTGAGCTTGCAAGGTTCTTACATTGCCATACATATTGTATTTGGTTTGCTTTCTGGTTTGTATAATGCTTACATTCATTCATTTGATTAATGTATTCAGTTTTCGCTATCACTTAACGTGTCTATCTATGCAGCGCTGTTCGCGCCTTTTTCTTTAGCGAGAAATCACTGTGGATGGTTGTCCGCGTAGTGACGAAGCGCAGTGCTAGTCATTTGAGATGGGATTTAAGGGCCCAGAGGAGCACTCGGATGCGTCTGCTCAAACTCTGAGTTTCATGGCATCCGCCTCGACTCCCAACATCTGCTTCTGCTCCAGCTGGATCTCTTGATCCTCCTCCGCCTCCTCCAGTATCTCGCTATTCTCCTCGTCACTGCTGCTTGGCGCCGGCGAGCTGACCGCCACATCGCTGCCCAGGGCCAACAGTGGCTGCACATCCATGTCGGGCGCAAACTGCTTCAGCAGGTGTCCCACCACGGTGCACAGTCCCATCAGACGCTTCTCCATTCGCTGCTCGTAGCGACGGCGGTGCCTGCAACAGAGATTAGTCGATTAATCTCTAGCACAATGGATTCACCCAGGGAATGGTTTTATTCTGCAAATCACTCACCTGTAATACTTCTCCTTTTCGCTGAGCACCTTGCGGTGGTGTTTCCTTAACAATTTATCCGCCTGTTGGCTCTGCTTCTCGAGCTTCTCGCTCTTCACAACCGTTGTCGTGGGCAGTGTCGCCTCCTCGAAGTCATTGTACCTACTATTGGAGAGGGACACCTCGCCGCCAACCATCACCGGACCGCACTCCATCTCGTGGCAGTTGGTGTTGTTCAGCATGCATACGTCCTCGCCGTCGCCACCTGCCGCATCCTTGCGCGCCGTGGCCTCGGCGAGCAGCCTGTCCAACTCATCGTTGTTGCTGTGGACGTGATCCTTGGTGCTGCTGTTACTGACCCGGTGGCAGGGCGACGTTTTGGACTCGTCCATGTCATCGGTGTCGCCTTCGTTTGGCGGCGAGCGTTCGCCAAAGTTGTGGTCATTGAGTACGCCCAGCATGAGTGGAGAGAGCTGCGCCTCGTCGCAGGAGTAGACACTGGCGATGGCCAGGTTGTTGTTCGGCTGCTCCACATTCGGCTCCTTGAGCGCGTACGAATGCAGGTCGGCGGTCTTCTGGTTCATGTAGGCGTGGATGAGGCCGAAGAACTCCCACTCCTTGTTCAGCTCCTCGATGCTCTGCTTGTTGAGTGGGGCGCCCAGCGTGTTGGCCTTGTGTATGCGGTACCGCTGCACCATGGAGAACCATTGCTTGCGCAGCGCAATCTCGCTGAAATCGCCAATCTTGGCCATTTCCTTGAATTTTCTGTTCGTAATCAGAATTTGATTAGTTGTCATAGTATTTGAATCAGGAAAGGCATTAACTAAAGCTTTTCATTTGAAATATTTAAGTGTTAGTCTCATAAAATAGTGCTTATTTTGAAATCAATTTACGTGCCAAATGTAATATGTTTCCTTATTCAACCTAGTGAAACTAGTTCTGAATTAATTTGGTGGTATCTTCAAACTGGATACTTAATGCTAAATAAATTAAAGATTGAGTTTTTGGAGCTTCTAAGCTTCAGTTTTTATAGGCTAGGTGCTACATTTCATTTAATTCAAACAATTGTAGTTTGTTATAAGGAATCTCGTTTAGGTCTTGGACCAAATGCTTTTTCAAGTTAGTGATTGTTGTTACAAGGAAACCTACTTTATTATTAAGTTTTTAACCTAATATCTTGACGTTGTGGCACGTTTTTTTGGCACTTAATGGATACTAATAGAAGCAGTATTCAATTCGATAATCAAAACCCCATTGCGCGGGTTCTATCTGCCAAATTTCTGGAGTTGCCCGGCATCTCCTCGTGGATTTAATAACCAAGAAACCAACTCACTTCCATGGCTCCGCGTGCTTAGGTGAGTAGCGGGAGAAGAGCTCATCCGCCGCGATCCGCTGCACCACCAAGTCGCGTTTCTCCTCCGTGGACCCTGCAAATGTCCAGAATGCCCAGCGAAATTCGCGGAAAAGTACAAAACTTTAGAAGTTGTTTCATTTGAAGCAGCGAGCACGTGTTGTTGTTGTTGCTTACACTTCTTGGATCCGCTCTTGGCGTACGTGTGGTGGTCCATTATGCGAGAGCTGGAGGAGCAGGTGGCCAGAAGGCGCGAGCAGGCCAAGTCGAAGATTTCGGAGGGGGAAGTTAGCAAATGAAATCCCGAAAATACACAGCCACTATTTTCTTTTCTTCTTTTTATATGTTCTGCCACAGATGTTCTGGACAGCGATGCAGCCCTGGCTGCACTGCACTGGCAAGCCAGGGCTTCTGTAGGGGGTGGCCTGTTAGGCGCAACAGCGCCATGTTAGATAACAGTGGGTGAATCGATTACAGCGCTGACTGCCTATCGATATATCGAGTTTAAATTTAGCGCGGAAACCTTAGACTGGCAATAAAGTGTTTTCAATTCCTTCATTTATACTCTATAATTAACTATGTTTTGCACGCGTTATTTCAACATAAAATAGATCAAATATATTTTTATGTTTGTAAAGAGTATATATGATAGAAACTAAGCGATCGAAATAAATAGTAAAGATGGCAAAAAGTAAGCAGTTCGAACGAACTATTTAACAACTTTTTAATATCGTTTGCTACTCATTTATGGTTTTGACCAGGAACCATCTCTTCCCGAAAGTCTATTATGATTTTTCATTATTTATTTTATGATTTCTGGCCTTTATTTCGTTTTCGTTTAGTACCACCGACAATATTGCATGCAATGGAACTGGTTACGACCACACCAACACTAAAGAGGAGGAGGTGTATCAAGACCTGTGCGCCCTGCACAGGACGAGTAGAAGCCAGGTAGAATTGCGATCCGCCTGTCCGTGCATGAGACACTTCGGTGGCCCCGTGACTCTGGCCGGAATCTTGACCGCACTAATTCCCGACTCTCTTTCGTCTTTCCCCTCTAGACCGCCTCGTCGACGAGCTTCGAGCAGCGCGACTACGTCATCCGGGAGCTGATCGACACGGAGTCCAACTACCTGGACGTTCTGACTGCACTGAAGACCAAGTTCATGGGTCCGCTGGAGCGGCATCTCAACCAGGAAGAGCTGCGTATCATATTCCCGCGCATCAGAGTGAGTAACTGCTGCCTGATTTTCGCGTCTAACTTTAAAGTGTATTAATTGCATTATCGCTTCAGGACCTGGCCGACATACACACTAGGTTCCTGGACAAGCTGAGGGAATCGCTGACGCCCAATGCCAAACTGAAGATGGCCCAGGTGTTTCTCGACTTCCGCGAAAACTTCCTCATCTACGGCGAATACTGCTCTAACCTGCTGACCGCCATCGACTATTTGGCGGATGTGTGCAAGAAGAACCAGATCATCGACCAGCTGGTGCAGAAGTGCGAGCGGGACTACAATGTGGGCAAGCTGCAGCTGCGGGACATCCTTTCTGTCCCGATGCAGCGCATTCTCAAGTACCATCTGCTGCTGGACAAGCTTGTAAAGGAGACATCGCCGCTGCACGACGATTACCGCTCACTGGAGCGGGCCAAGGAGGCAATGATTGACGTGTCGCAATATATCAACGAGGTGAAACGCGACTCCGACCACCTGGTCATCATACAGAAGGTGAAGGACAGCATCTTCGATCTCCATCTGCTGCAGAATGGTAACGGCAGCGATCTGCTGCAATACGGCCGCCTGCTTCTCGACGGCGAGCTGCACATCAAGGCGCACGAGGACCAGAAGACCAAGTTGCGGTACGCCTTCGTCTTCGACAAGATCCTCATCATGGTAAAGGCGCTGCACATCAAGACGGGCGACATGCAGTACACCTACCGCGACTCCCACAACCTGGCCGACTATCGCGTGGAGCAGAGCCATTCGCGACGCACTCTTGGCCGGGACACGCGTTTCAAGAACCAGCTCCTTCTGGCCCGCAAGTCGGGCAAGACAGCCTTCACTTTGTACCTAAAATCGGAGCACGAGCGGGACAAGTGGCGCAAGGCGCTCACCGAGGCCATGTAAGTGTGATTGTGAAGCGCGGTCAAATTTCAATATTCAACCGATTCTAAATACGATGTTTAGGGAAAGCCTGGAACCGCCTGGTTGCCAAAGTACAGACCACAAAATGGAGATCTACACGTTTGACGCCCCGACCACGTGCCGCCACTGCTCCAAGTTCCTCAAGGGCCGCATCCACCAGGGCTATCGGTGCAAGGTGTGCCAGATCAGCGTGCACAAGGGCTGCATCTCGTCGACGGGTCGCTGCAAACAAAATCCAGTTAGTGTGCCGCCACCCGTCTGCGATCGTCAGTTGTCCGAGTTCAATTGGTTCGCGGGCAACATGGATCGGGAGACGGCGGCCCACCGGCTGGAGAACCGGCGCATAGGCACTTACCTACTTCGAGTTCGTCCCCAGGGCCCATCAACTGCGCACGAGACGATGTATGCGCTTAGCTTAAAGTGAGTAGTCAACTCTATTTGGCCAGAATTGCATCATCGTTGAATCATCGTTTTCGTTCCATTAGAACCGATGATCATGTGATCAAGCACATGAAAATCAATCAGGAGAACTCCGGCGACTCCATGCTCTACTGTTTGTCCTCGCGGAGGCATTTCAAGACCATTGTCGAGCTGGTCTCCTATTACGAACGCAACGATCTGGGCGAGAACTTTGCGGGGTAAGCAAACAGCGCATTAGAAAGAGCTACTCGTCTGACCGCGGCACTCTTTTCCAGGCTCAATCAGTCACTGCAGTGGCCCTACAAGGAGGTCATCGCCACCGCTCTCTATGACTACGAACCAAAAGCCGGCAGCAATCAGCTGCAGCTGCGCACTGACTGCCAGGTGCTGGTCATTGGCAAGGATGGGGACAGCAAGGGCTGGTGGCGTGGCAAAATCGGCGACACGGTTAGCTGAGCACACGATGCAATCCAAATCAGATTGGTTGTTACTAAAGATTTCCCTTGCAGGTGGGCTACTTTCCCAAGGAGTATGTGCAGGAGCAGAAACTGGCCAGCGAAGAGCTTTGATATTACAATTACGAGGTCTACTTTGCACCCAAGGCCATCACGCCCACAGCGGCAGCCATTGCTGAATTGCCAGGAGCTGGAACTGGAGCTGGAACTGTAGCTGAAACTGGAACTGGAGAAGCTGTCACTGCAATTGGAGCCATTCAAGGAGCCGCCATCGAGGTGGCCGTGGCCAGCGTCGCCAGCCAGAGCAACAACAACTGCAGCTAAAATGTACCCTAGTTAAATGTATACCTTAAAATGCAACTTGTTTTTATTCGTGATTAAGTCTTTTTGTTTGCCTTTCCTTTTCTTTTTTTTTTTAAATTTTTGCGTCGTCTGCTGGAAACATTGTGCCAATTACCGAAAAATTACAAAACCCACATTAAGCAGCAATGTTTGTTTGAAAATGTTTACCTTTAAAGTTTCAATTGCTTTAAATTATATATTGCTAATATATATCTGTATGTACATGCTTACATTTCTAAGAAACTTTAGACACTTAAGTTTTACTTGTGCGTGTGCCTGTGTTCTCTTTGCCAACATATTTGTTTCATTTTTTTGTTCTTAACATGTAACATGTAATCGTCCCACGTTAAGTGAGGGTTGTGCGAATGGAAGGGAATGCGTATTTCCATACAAACAAAGCTTTAAAAAGTATATTCATATTATTGTACTTGTACTGGTAGATATTTAAACCTAGTTGAAACGCAAATGTTAACATAACGAAAGCAACGCAGCCACAAAATGTTCGAACAGAGAATAAGAATACTACAATGAAGTAACGACGATAAGGAAGTAAAAGCTTTAGAAATAACGATAGCCGTCATATTTACACGATGATCAACATTTAGGCCAGCCAATTTATAGATATCTATACCTATAACTAACTATAATGTACCTATTTATATAGCCAACGAATCACTTTGCAAACTAATTAATGTTCACGGCGGCGTTTTGAAGAGTCAAAAATGTGTAGTTAGCAAACGCAACGATGTTCTTGAAGCGAAAATACAAAAGTTTATTCCGCAAATATCAGACATGCTCCCATCTCCACTCTAAATCAAACTTTGGATTCTAGTATTATTAATTTGCTTAATGCCAAGCTCCTTCACACTAAGTGGGGCATTTCAAGATGCAGCACCAACCAAATTGGGTTTTAAATGTGAAGTTACACTAAATTCTCGATAAGCAGAAAGGAACTGCATTTAATTGGTGTCATCAAATTTGTGTTATCATTGAAGTTAATCAAAAATTGAAGCCCAGCTTTTAAGGGCAAGTTGAGATCGATGGCGATTGCTAAGTAAATTATTTCCAACTGTCGCACAAAAATAAGAATATGCAATGTAATTTTTTATACGCACAAAGCACCGGAGCAACAATAGAATTAAAATGCATAATTGCTAGGCTAGAAAGTCGGTTTCACACTCTTTTTCATGTGCTATAAAGTCAAGTGTGTTTGAGTATGGTTTCATTTTGAAGGCATTGTGACTTCAACCGCATGTCGAATCGAAAAGTTAACACTAGCAATTCCAAAGCCAAATCCGCATTTATCGCCCACTGCTATACCCATCTCTTTTGCCGCTCTCCTGCTGTCCCTTTCCCTTTGGCAGCTTCAAAATTACTATTAAGTAAATGTTGTTCGTTTCAATTGCAAATTGTCGCATCCAGTTTAATGCCAATGTAAAGATGTTTGTGGTTTTACAAATAAATTAAATGGTTAGAAACACGATTGTAGGCGACATTTGTGAATGTTTTCTTGTTCAGTTGAAACCTCTTATGTCGTAACAAAGAATCGTGGTTTTATCTTGCAAATATCTTCGACATTCTTATGCCTCACATTTATTTATTTTGGTCATCGAAAGTCTACCTATGCCTTTCTGAGGAAGAATGATCTTCATTTAACACTTACACTGCATATCAAATTTTGTAATGTTTGTATCATAGGGAATATTAAATCATGATCTCCGCTTACAACAAATTCAAAAGAAAGCAAATATTTCAAATGATGTACTTATACTAATAGTAGAATTGTATAAAAATCCACAAGAGCGCATCATATTACGCAACTTTCCCTATTGATATCATATACATTGTATTCTGATTTTCGAAAAGTTCTGAGATTAAACCTTCTAGGCTCCGCTTCAAACAATTTTTGGTTCTTTTTATAGGCTTGCTAATCTTTTCTAGCTGATTAGCCCACAAGTATGCAATGTCTTCTTATAGAACGGTTTATTGTAACAAAAAAATGTGTGGCAATTAATCTAAGCTAATGAGTGGGGAATACATTGAGTCATACGAAACAAAACATGATTATTGC